AAAAAAATCGTCTTATGTAATTCATCATGTTTGACCTTATATTTTGTAGTACATAGTTATGATAGATTTGTCGGACTATTAACAGGAAAATTGAATAAAGGACTTTTTTTTTAATATGATATAAGTTTTATGATCTTAGGAAATTTCAATTGATAGAGGTTGCTTTCTTTTCCAGATAGTCAACGTTTAAATTTTATTGATTTTTCGAATCATTTCAGGTGAGTTTCTGATAAGTTAGCATTGTAGATCGTGGTGAATTAACGACATCAAATTTTAATAAATTCGGATCTGAAAAACGATTAAATGCAAGTCTTATTTTTCAATAATAACAAATCGAAATGTTTATTTGTCTTATATTAAAATACCCTCTTGTTGGAGAATTTTCATCCGTAATGTGTGCAAAATTTCGAGAGAAAGTTCACAATTTATTTTCATAGGACTTTTCTTAATGTTTTTTTGAATTTCGTACTTTATTACCGGTTCGACATATAATATTTTTAAAGAAATTTCATCAAAAACTTACTTTAAAGCCATTTTTCGAACACTGTTAGCCATTGTAGCCTCAAGGTGAGAATGACGAATATATTGTTGGAATACATTAGCTGACATTGGTGGAGCTCGTAATTGTTCATCAGTAAGACTATTAATCCAATTTGGTAAATAAGTATACATTAAGTCACCATCACATTGAGCAACATCAAATGGAACTTTAACAGTTTCAATTTCGGCATAAATCTAAATCATATTAATAAATATAAAGTAAATATTATTGATTTATCTTACATCATGCCGATCATCATTATTCGTTTTATCAGACATAGATGATTGTGATTTTCTTCTCGACTAAAAAAATAAATAGATTTACAAAGTTACAACAAAGGAATTGTTGGCGGTACTGACTATGAACAAAGCGTCAGTACAAACCATAATATATTCATATATAATTTTGATCATAAAAAAATAACAAAGATTTTCAAAAATATATTCAAAGAATTTTTATATTTTTAGTGATTTTTTTTCCGACGTATAGAAACAGATGTCACTCTTCTCTGTACCAATCGATACGATTCTTATACCGGAAAACGAAAGTTTTTTTCTCATCATATTAGTTTGTAATAGACTAGGCAGGTAAAGATTGTATTTCATTATAATCAATATTGTTACTACTAAGATCTACAGTATTGAAGTAAATATTTGAATCCAATGATCAGTGTTTCCAATATTAAGTACCTCAAGCAAAATCAAAGTATCCAAGGTACTTACGATTTTGAAAAAGTACTGTGTTTTGTACTTTGCTGGAAAGTACACGGTACCTTGATGGTACTTTGTAAAATAAACAAAAAACTTTGCTTATTTCTTATACTATTATTTAGAAGTTACTCGTCGTCTGCCTCTTGTTTATTGATCATATCGGTAGATGAGATGGAGCAAAAAGAAATTTTCGTTTAGTCTCATTGAATTTAGCATTAAAATTTCTTTTTATCTTTTTAGATTTTCAATAATATTTTTAAATACTTTCTTCATTTATTCTTGCCGTATATTTGGATCTAATTCATGATTCCCGATTGTTTTGAAAAGTGGAAGGGGCTAAAATTTCGAAAAGTCCGAAAATTATGGCAGAAAGTGCCTTATCTGACTATATTAGCAGAAACCGAACAAAGAATACCGAATAAATCGACTTTCTGTGAGATTTTATTGACAGAAAGTGTTTTTATTCGACTTTGTACCAGAATTTACCATGAAGTTTTCAAAAATTTGGTAGAATGTGTTAGAAATTTCCCAGAAGTCGGACGTAGTTTTGATTTCTGGTGGGAATCAGATCATCAGTCCTTCGCTAATCGAAGAGCATGATCTTATTTCATGTATATGTATTTCATTAACTGATTCTTTGATTTTTATCAAGCAAATCCATTTTGTGGTACTTTGATATTTAGGACAAAGTACCAGCAAATACTTTGTCAGTGGAAGCAAATACCCAAATATACTTTGTTTCAGATTTCTATTGGAAACGCTGCCAATGATGAATGAGTATTGAGTTCTATAGTGAAAAAGATAGACATGTTGTCGTTTCTCATTATCATGCTAGTCCTATCCAACTCTTATCATATGTATTAATAAAGTTTTAAAGAATTAAAAGATATTCGAAAAATTTTTTAGTATACAATAAAAATAAATCTCATTCTATTTCCTATTTTGACCTTATAAGAGAGCCCGTTGTGAATATGTCCCTGACATGATCAGATTCAGAACCAACCCAATGGACTATACTCCAAGAATAAGAATCAATGTCAACTTGATAATGATTGGATTACTATTGTGGCTGTTAGATTCGAATTAGGAAATTCCATTGAAAGTATGAAGAATTTCTAAAAAAAAAAAAACTTTGTTACTTAACAGTAGGTTTAGAATTATTTCAAAATGTTTCGACGAGAACTATATTGAAAAAGAAATTAGATTAAAGAATATGAATATTCACTTGACAAACATTTATTATCATGCCTAGTGTATGCTACTTCTATCATTTGCTATTTAAAGTTAACATGTTCAAATTATCCACACAAAACTTATTTAATAAGAAAGATGGAAATTTCTACACCGATACTGTTGTATTTTCATTCTGTCAACGGATAAATTTAATCGAAAAGATCAACTGCAAGAGAAAATTGATCAGTAGATTTGATCGCCATCTGTCGAATGAGACATTTTTTTCTTAGATAAATCTGATAATTATGAATCTCTATTAAATTTGTACTACATATTAGTAAGTTAAAATTAATAACTCTTTTAAAAATTAAAATCCGTCGTTTAATGGTTTATTTTTTAAACCATTCATAAAACAAATAATTCATGCTCAGCAATAAATGACCATGCATAAAAAACGATTATTTTAAAAGGATTTTCGCAGAAAATATGTCAACAAAAAAAGACGAAAATGGACCAATGCATTTACGATGGCCTATTGAAGATATAATAGCTTTTGCAAAACGTTATGCTATAACCCATGGTCTTCTTTGTCTTGTTCCTGATAATTTAGATCAAGCAACTATTGTTCCATTTTCTCTATTTCCAAGTCCGTATTCTTATGCACATTTTAAATTTATTTGGTCAATTCAAACAGCTTATAATCGTCTTTATTATCGTGTATCTCTCGATGATGAAATTCTGGAAAAAGCACTGACACCAGTTATTCCACTTGATGATTTTGTTGAACGACTTTGGAAAATTCATCGTACTTGTAAAAGACGACAACCTATTCAATTAGACATTTATCGAAGTAAGTAATTGGTTTATTATCATAAAGAGATAGTCGAACTTGATTATTAAAATAAGATCTCTATCCTGACGTGTCTATATATCATTCAACTTGCATACGATATTTGATTTCTGGTTAATTGGAAAATATTAATTTGATGATTTCGAAACTTATCAATAGGTGTTAGAATGAATATTTTTTTATTCTTGTCATAAGTCACCTGTTGTTCACTATAAAAATTTAATCGAATTATAATTTAAAACTCTTATGTATTAATGAAGAAATTAAAATCGATCTACATCGATTAACATTATAAGATGCATATAACTGAATATAAGAGTCCATCTTATTTTTCATTGATTTATATACAGTTTACAAGTGCTTGAAGAGTTGATTACGAATATGTATTTTTCATTTCACCTAGATTATTGCATCGATAAAACAAACTTCAAATGATGATCAAGTCACAAATATAACCAAAATCACTTTTTTTCTCAGAACAATTGATAAGTTTTCAAAATGTTTTTTTTAAAATTTAGTATCAAAAATTGAATATAAAAATCAGATATCAATATATGCTTTGTTTTTAAATACTTTTCTAGATAAATATATTTAGTTTCTTATGACAGAAGATAAAACCAAATGTCTTATCCTATTTGAACCAGATGGTCGCGAGCTAGAAAAGTCCCCATTTAGGTTTTTTATTGTTAAGAAAATCAAATGACCCTGTTTATTGCAGTTTATATTATCAAAAATCAGTCGAAAAATAAATTAAGCAGTATATTGATAATCAGCGTGAAAGTCTACAACCACATCACATGCATTTCAGCTAATACTATGGCAGATGAAAAATCGATCACAGAAAGATCACGGACAAAGTTTCAGCAGAGAAGTGATGAGAAAGAATCTAATTACATTTTTCGTTGAAAAGTAGTTTTATTAAAATATATGTGGAATCGGTGTAGATTTTCACGCTGATTTTTAATATACTGTTTATTTTATTTTTCAATTGAATTTTGATAATAGAAACTTCAATAAACAAAGCTACTTTTGTTTCTTTGAATACCAAAATTAGTAGATTTCGATTTTCTTAACGATAAAAAACAAAATATGAAAATACTAAATGGGAACTTTTTCTAGATTGAAACCAGCTGATTCCAATGAGATAAGATGTTTGTCATAAAACAACTAGATAGATTATACTATAAGTCTACATATATTGATCGCATTTTTCTACGTTATTTATTTTAAATTTAAGAAAATAATATTTTATATTCAATTTTTAATGCTGAATTAGAAAAAACACCTATTTTCAAAGAATTTAAAAAGAAAAACACTCTAGACATTTGAGAGTTGTTTTGAGGAAAAGTGATTTTCGTTATAACAGTAGTCAAGCTCTAACAAAGGAAAAAGAAAACCTATTCCAGTTTTGAATTATATACACTTCATATATGAAATAAAGGTTAATCTTTATAAAACATCATTCGTTTGTTGTCCATATTATAGAAAAGAAATAATGAATACAATTCTTTTTAATTTTAACTATTGTTTAGTTCAAGTTTATCTCATCAGATATCAATGCTGTTTAAAATAAAAACGAAATCGGGAAAAGAATTTTGAATGAAAAAATCTTGAAGAAAGCTATTAACAATCCGATGAAGTTTTTGACATTGATTCCGAATATGTTATTTGTTTTCGTAATAATCTATTTCTAGCCGGAGAAAACCTTAGTTTTAACAAAATAATCAAATTTTTTTCAAAGTTTACATCGAAGTTCACAAACGTTCATGTTAATTTATACTTAAGATGATAACATCGGGAATACAGAAGAATACACTGAGAAAGTTTCTATGACTTTTAAGTTAGAATATGAGTGGGATATTCATTTTAATAATATAGTTGTTCGAAAAGTTATTGTAGAACAAAGAAGCTTTTTCTTTTCTCTGAAATCATCAGTGGTAATTAAACACGTTTTTTTTTTTTATTAATTAATAATGGAAACGATATAAATTCATCATATATATTGATTTCGACTGCCATTATAGTGAATTTTGTAAAAGTTTGAGAGCTGTCCGGAAATCATTACATTTAGATCAGTTCTTAATTAGTTAATTTTCTACTCTATGGAAAATTTGTTACAAAAAAAATTAAACACTATTAGATAGTTCATGATTCGAAGTACATGTAGCACTATTTTAAACCTTCCAGTAGTATATTTTGGAGTTTTCACCGTATGTTCACTTGATTATTCATTGTGTAAGAGCAATTGTTTTGTATTTCGATCTTTAGCCATATATATTGTCTTCATCCTATGGTGCAACTGGACAGTTTCTAGTTTATTAATCATTAAATTTCTAATATTCGAAGTAGTTCCATTATATCAGTAAAGCTAATTTTCTAAAAATAAGTCTTTATTAATAATATTTAATTTCATAGATGATTATATGCTTGATACAAAAGTTAATAAAATGCGTCAAATTGAATTTAATACCATTAGTTCTGCATTTGCTGGTTTAACTGGTATTGTTGCTGATTTACATAAAGCTATTTTACGTTATGCTGTTGA